CCCCAATACCTACTACCTCTATTAAATGGTGCTTTTCTACTCTAAACCAATCTGTGAGTGCCAACATCACCAAGAACATGGAGGTGAGGAAGGAGAAAGAGGGAGGACGGGACAGGCCCAGATCCCTCCATTTTAAACCTCTGACCCCCATGTACAAAACCAAAACCCCCCTGTACAGCACTCAAAAATTCTTCCCTCTACTTTGTGACTACTTCTACTCTAATATCTAAACTTTTGTGACTTCTTGTTCTTCCTGCAAGGTTGGTAACTCATTCCATGGTTCAGCCAGGATTCCCAGATTTTTCTGGAATGGCAGTTAAGTCAACCTGGCAGTGACTTCAGCCTCCTCCAACATGGAGCAGCTCCTCCTGTGGATTTTACTGCTTCACCATGATGAAGGATGATATCTGGGGGATGTTATTTATCGTTGTTTGAGGATTTTTTTTCTCTTGGATTTCCTCTCCAGATCCTGAAGGATATTGGGGAGGAGGAAGCCAACATTGCAAACCTGAAAAAAGCCATCAAGGAGAAGGAAGCTCACCTGAAGGTGGCTCACACCAGGCTCTACGACCGATCCTTCCGGCCCAACGTCGAGCTCTGCAGGGATGAGCCCCAGTTCAGGTCACTCAACCAACCCCAATTTTAATTAATTTAATTCAATTAACCCAAATTTAGCTAATTAATCAACTCCTCCAAGGCTCCTCTTCCATCCCAAAGTGATTTGGGGCAGTTTTAGAAATATTTTACCTCACAACTTTTCATTTTTTGCCTCGTGACTTTAAATTTTTCTACTTAAAGTCAGAAATGACTTTTCAATTCTATGGTTGACCTTTATCCCAAAATCCAATCCTGGAATTTTTTTAGGTTTTTCCCTTATAAATTTTACTATCTGTAGTTGATCTTTATCCCAAATCTTATATTTTTGAACAATTTTTCAGAGGTTTTTTCCTGTTGAATTTCACATTCTGTAGTTAATGTTTATCCCAAATCCAATATTTTCTTGGATTTTTCTGAGATTTTTTTCCTGATGAATTTTAGATTCTATAGTTGATCTTTATCCCAAATCCAATCTTGGATTTTTCAGATGTTTTTTCCATGATGAATTTCAGATTCTGTAACTTATCTTTATCCCAGTCTTGGATTTTTCTGAGGTTTTTTTCCTGATGAATTTCAGATTCTGTAGTTAAAGTTTATCCCAAATCCAATCTTGGATTTTTCTGAGGTTTTTTTCCTGATGAATTTCAGATTCTGTAGTTGATCTTTACCCCAAATCCAATATTGGATTTTTCTGAGTTTTTTTCCTGATGAATTTCAGATCCTGTAGTTAAGGTTTATCCCAAATCCAATCTTGGATTTTTC